CAATATTAAAAATTCACATGGGCGCGAACACGTTTTCGTCCTGAACAGTTTGTCGGACCTATATCGCGTATGTTCGTTTTTCCAAACAAACCAACACTATTTCTAGCTCTTTACTTACAGGTGTCATGGTCAGTGACCCTTTACAGTGGCTTTCTACAGGTCCCATGGCAGAAGATTAGATTCAAAAAAACAGTGTCGTTTCCAGACCGACCACCTATATACATCTGTCCACGTAGGTAGAGCTTGATTGAATTAAACGTATTTCTTATTTTATCTCATTATTATTGTTTTTTGTTAACTTGACTTATTTTTTCGTGTCTTTTTTTAAAGTTTTTGGATGTTTTATAAAATTGTGCATTGTATAATCTTATCGAGTTCTTAGGTGTCATCTCAGTTACCTCAATCAACCGTGACTATGGGACCTGTAAAGGGACCGAAACATTGGTTTGTTTGAAAAAAACAAACATACGCGATTTAAATCCAGAAAAATAATTTAATTTCCCATTTGTGTTTTGTTATTTTGGTTTAGAAACTGAAATAAGCAATTATTATTACTATTGTTATTAATAACGGTCTCGTTATTACATAACTTAAATTCAAGCAATATTAGTTAAGCAGATAATATACGAAGAACGTTACGAAGTTACTCGTAGTGGGCATGAGCAACTCATCAAACTAGAGTCTCGTTTTGCTAGTAAAACGCGATTGTTGTTATCTCTGCCCAACAGAGCCGTAGTAAACTCAAACCCTCGTCTAATTGGGCTGTGAGTACCGGTTTAGCTATTCGAGGTGTTTTAATGTTCTGTGATGATACGATGTTTCTGAGGAATGAAAGGCATATGACAGCTGCTACTGTAGGTGTAGATGCGAATACTGGACTTGAAAACTATTTTTAACCGACTTCAAAAAATGGAGGAGGTTCTCAAATAGACTGTACTTTTTTTGTGTTGTTACGCAATTACACCGATATTTGTAAATCGATTCCGATCATTTTCTTTTTGGCCGAAAGGCGATACTGCGGTACATACCCGCAGTACTGGTCCATTTAATTTCAAGAAAATATTCCACCTCTAAGGGTAGGAAATTAGGTTTATTGATTTCAAATACTTTCCGTTAACCGTTTTCAATACACTTGGCAAATATTATTATTTTTTTGAATATCACGATACTTTTAGTACTACGACGTTCATATATCGTCGGTGTTTTGCAGAAAGGGCGTAAGCGTTTAGGTTATGCACGGCTGCTTTAAAATATTTACGCCCTGATTTGAATTTTGACACCTGAAATTTTTTTTCGAAATGTCTTAAAGAATTTCCACAAAATGCCGACTAATTATTTTTGTGAAAAGGATCGCATCTAAGCAGTTTGTTGTTATTATTGATACAGAGATAACGAACACAATAAAAAATTCCTTCGATCCGGCTGGACTCGAACCAGCAACTTTTTCGCCAAATCGGGGCTGTGCGGGGCTCAACTGATCGACGAGTCAGCAGACCTTACAAATTTCACTCATTCCGTCTGAAGGATTTTGTCCTTGTTTCAGTAATAACAACAAGTTATAGGAATATTTTCACAAAAAATATTTTTTTGTAACTTAAACAAACAGCGTAAATAGACAAAATTTCGAAACTGAAATATAGCATCTATATCTAATACACACAAACTTATCTCCAAGTGCAATAAGACGATCCACAATTCAAAATGTAAGGCCTAGCGTGCTTTTGACTGACCTTACCTACGTTACTTGTTAGTTTGGGCTTTGTTAAAGCAAAGCCAAAGTGCCGTGAGCTATTTGTACGGGGTATACATGCAACATACAGGGTGACTTTTAGGGTGATTCTACATTTTGCCACGCAAATCCATTTTGCTGGTATTTTTATCGCATTTTGAGGGGATCCTTAAAGCAAAAGTTGTTTAGTAAATGTGGATCCCTTCGACGACCCACACTTGGAAAGAAGAAAAAGGATTTACTGGCAATATTGAGGGCTTCACTGATATGTGGTCGGGTTGCCGCTATGGATTATTATAGAAGAGCTTCTGACACGTGTTGTCGCGTTGCGGGTCTTCCAATCCAGGAAGAGAATGAGCGAATGACGCTTCGCCCTCTCCGGGCCATACTTATACCATCCGGCACCCGTCTCTACTTTCCTTTGTCATGCCACCCCTGCTAAAGGGACGGTGCCACCGTACGCGCGAGACGTAGCATGAACCCAAACTTCACCAAAACATATCTAGAACTTTTGTGAACATATTAATGAGTAGAATCAACGTTAAATCACCCATCATTTTAAGGGTGAAAAGGTTAATGAAAAAAAATCAACCTGTAGATTAATAAAATTCAGCCCTAGTCGTACATTTTCGAAGTTGATCTGAATTAAGATAGTTCCACCTCACAAAGGAGTAATGTGACTCTTACGACCGCGAAACTTTTCCTTCACTGCCCGCAGACTGAAAGTGCTAAGGCGAAACTACACTGAATGCAGTTGAAAGCATTTTCTAAGCACGTTTGCGATTTCTTACTATATTAACCAATAAACCCGAGTTACATTGGACACGGGGCGTATAAGTACTCTAAGGGTGCAGACACACGTGATGCATATCAACAGCATCTCAAGTGCAAAATAATATTACGAGTGCAATCGGAAAGCAGTTTTAATGCAATATAAGATTTTAAAACCACATAAATTCTTGTTATTTTCTCGAAATAATACGAGACCATAACTTCTTTGTCCTGGCCGTATCGATATCTCCAATGAACACTACGCCAACTAAATTTTTGGACCTGTTCTGTTTTTATTTTGTTGTTAGGTTCATTATTGCTTTTTTCACAAAATTCGCTTTTTTGTTTTTTTTTTCTTTCGGTTTTTATTTTTTGTTTCTTTATTATAATTTATACCTCATCGCATTCGGGGAGCATAATATTAACAATTAAATATTATTATTTATTAAAAAATTACATATTAAATTATATATTACAAATAAATAAATAAATTATATATTACAATTATATATTAAAAATTAAATATTAATTTTGTTTACAAAAATAACAGAAACTGTACAAAAAATAAAGTTGGCGTAGAAAAATAAAGCGCTGAAGTCCTGCAAGATCTCAAGAACCTCGGTGCTAGTGGGTGGAAGGAGCAGGCTCAGGACCGGGAGGAGTGGCAGAATCAGGTGTCGGAGGCCAAGACCCACTTTGGGTCACTGCGCCACCGAAGCAAGTAAATAAGTGTTTATTGGAGATATCGTTATGTCCCATTTCTTATGGGCTCGGCCCTCCTCCTCGGTCCGCGCGCGCCACTCCAGGCGCCTTTGCGTAAGTTCAGGGTCTATACTCATCGTCTTCAAGTCTCTCAGGACGGTTACAATCCAAGTGGTCTGGGGTCTATATAGTCGTGTTTTGGCTGTTACAGTACGTAGCGCCAAGATTTTTTTGGTCATACGGCTATTGTCCCTATGCGTTACGTGGCCATATCAACTTAATCGGTTTTCCCTAAGTGTTTCCTGTATAGGTGCCACTTTAAATGTCTAATACTAAATACGAGACCATACCGTAATAAGTTTGAATGCTGTCTGCGCGACAAAACGCTAATTGACTGTGTTCTATATGTCCTTGATCTTCATTTACTTAACCTAACTCTACAAAGACAATTTTAGTAATCTATCACATTATAGGTACTTTGAAAAGGCTCTGGTAAAGAATGTAAAACAAAAATGTTAACACTAGTTATTTTCATATCGTTGATGAGAAATGTCTCATCAACGATATGAATTTAGATATTTATTTTATTGAATACT